TTAGAGCACTTTAAGTTGCCCTAATAGCTATTATTTTTGTAGTGAATAGTGGAGTCATTTTAACTAGGACATGCCTATGGACAAATTAAATGATGGATATTACTGATTTGGGATTTAGTGTTTCTATAATAAAATATGCATAATTAGTGTTATTTACCCCAAAAGATAAACAAACACTCATATTATCAACTTGTGAAAATAAATAATTTATTTTCGTATTTAAAACGACATAGAGGATATAAAAGTCATTCCAGAGGAAAGTATTCACATATACATATCATTTAAAATACAAAACTAACCCAGGATTAGTTATAGTCGACGTCCAAAAGATTTCTTTTCTATCTTAGTGAATTAAGATATGGTTTATTTTATAGTGGGATCTTGAGTTCTTATAGTGATAAGCCCTTATAGTCAATTTACATCTCCAAAGGGGAAACTTAATTCGATTAAAGTGTATATTCTCATTTTGGATTTAAAACATGTGATAGTTGCCTTACATATTTTAAAAATATCAATCACTCATTTGAAAATATCTTTAAATTGTATAAAACATCCTTGAATTCTTTATACTTTTTTCTAAAAAAGGAATTCTAGGTGTGCAAATATCTTTGGGCTTATACTTATTTGGAATGTGCTACCAGCTAACAACCAAATACACAAGAAATCATCTTAGATGTAGTGTATCATATGATCAAATTTTCCGTACTGCCTCTTTCTTGAATGGGTTATCTTAAGAGATCGAATAAGTATATTAGACTCTGAATTATATTAGTGCTCAAGATGAGTAATTTTGACTTTACGCTCAATGACACTAACTAGATGACTCGCTAAAATCTCTATATTTTATCTTATTAATTAATTATCCTAACTAATTTTTTTTTTAACTCCAAAAATTTTTATAAACATTCGGCAGCATAACAACCGCATACTAAAGAAAAAGAGATAACATCCTCCGAGCACACGAGGGCCCCGCTATCTTGTCCCTATTGGGCCTAAGTGTTTTGGTTTAACGTATATTACAAAAATAAAATGTGTGCATGGATAGGTAATGGTGTTTGGGTATATGATACCCAGTACCTTATTGTTCTAGAACTAGCATACAAGTTCCTACAAAGTCCAAAACATATACATTGAGGAAATCCTAGAAAAAATTGCTACCTAATAATGCAAGCCACAACTCATATGATGTAATGCATGATATAATGTAATAAAGAAATGACTGATATATACAAATTCATTTATTAATTGATTTGAAATTATATAATAGACTTAGCTAGTATCTGTAGAAAAGAAAGGTGGTCATGCTCCACTACAATAAACTTGAGTTTTTAAGCCTTTCATATCTATATAAACAAATATATATGCTTAAGGTCTTCAAGCTCCAAGTCTTCTATGGATTTACAAAAGAAATTATCCTCCAAGGGAGAGGATACCATCTTTTGGAGCCCCATTTGAATGTATAAGTAGGTGTATTTGACTATTTTATAACTAAGGATGTTGTACAACATGATCTATATATAATATATAATTTACAGGGACTTGTACAAATACATCATTTTTAGATACTTACTTTGGCTCTTCCAGGAAATGAAAGTAATATAAAAGTATATAAAAGTGCAAAGTAGTTGTGCAATAATATAATGTTTCTAATGTAGCCCTTAAAAAGCCTAAGTGCACCAACAAAAATTAAAATGTGTGACATTCAGATTGCATAAAATAAATAAACAAACACAAGGTGCTCTCCAAGCAAAGTACCTGACAAGCAATTCAAACCACCGGCCTAGCCTAGGCTAAAGTTGGTTGTCCTAGCAAATTATCTAAGTGTGTGAAGGAGGCTATGTGACTTTGGTATATCCTATAAGAGTTTAATGTTTAATTTGCTTGCATTTGAAGTGTTTGTTCATTAAGGTCAAAAGGAAATTTTAATTGAAATTTAACTTGTAGGAATTTGAATTTTATTAATTAAATTGTGGTTAGAATTGATTCATTTAATTTTAAATAATTTATAAATTAATAACTCCAAGTGTCAGAGCTACTAACCTATAAATCCCAAAGCTTTATAATCAAAATGCAATTATCCCCCATATAAGATAGATAATTATATAAAGCCCTTTGATATGTTGTTGATTTATTAAGGGATAGAAGAATGGACCCTTTTAGTCCAATACACATACTCTCCAAGCGAAGCCAATCAAGATGTATAGGGTCAATAATTTATTAAGGGTTAATTAAAGGGCTGTAAATACAATACAACTATGTTTTCCATAATTGAATGCCAACATAGTGTATAAAACTTAGGCTATTTAATTTTGATATTAAATTAACTCAAAAATTCATGAAATTAATCAAATTGGTTATGGATAACTAATGGATCAATTCCTAAAAAATTTAAATTAATTTGATTTGTATTTTATTTTTATGAATTAATTTAATTAATATTTAATTAAGGGTTAATTATTTATTAATTAAATTTAATCAAGTTTGAATCTATTTTTTTTTAATGAATTGAAAATGTTAAATTTAATTTGTATTTTTAATGTATTTTATTTGAATTATAAGAATTTTTTTGGATGAATTAGATATTAATTAAGGGTTAAATTTGATTTAATTTTATTTTAAGATAAATTAATGTCAAATCATGGTATATTTAATTATTAAGATGTATATTGTCAATAAGTTCAAGGATTTGAAGTTCCATCCCTATTGGATGTATGCATAAATTCCTAAAATTATTCTTAGTTCACTTGACCTTATCCTTAATTATTGTCCTTAGGTGTCACTAAAGTTCAAGTAGGTTTGCAAACTCATTTGTCTAACCCTTTTTTGTATATAATAAAACCACAACAATTTGGTGTCCTAATGCTCTACAAATTGAATATAGTGAATTATCAAAGTTATAGATCACATAGTAGCCTATAGACTTGAAAATTTAAGTACATAAAGAACATACATCAAAATAGGGTAAGAAGTTCAGAGAGTATGGGGGACATCCTCAAAGACTTCCCCTCCTAATTTAAACTTAATATCATGCATATTCTAGGTGTCATATAGGAAAATCAATAGGCATTGAAGAGTCATTTACCTTTAAATCATGCATAATCATATCTTGGATTTATTTTTAAATCAAAGAGTCCATCATACTGATTCCATTAAAGCCTTGACATGCAAAAATTGGGCAAGAGATAAAATTACTATAAATATGTAAACATCTAGTTCAATATATGACTTAAGTTCTTGAAAATTCAAATGTGAGCCATTATGACATCAAATGACCCTAAGAAAATTACTGGGTGTGAAGAATATCTCCTAATTCAACCATTCAAAATTTGAGCATTATTGGACAAATATTTAGAGAGTTATAAGGAAAATTTATAAATTAATATAAACCAACTTACTCTTAATATTCATCATTTTGATCCAAAATTATTTTTAAAATGCAGTGCTTGAAAATACAAATCCATAGAGGTTATATACATAATTGGTTTAACTACAAAATTTATTAGAATTTTTGGAAGTTTTACTAAAATAGATTTTATTTTTAATATAGAATTAACTGGGCTAACGACGGGTTAATTAAGCAGACCTCTACAGGTGGCAAAAAATGAATAGGCCAATTAATAGATAAAAAATACATAGCATATACACATCTAATAGATAAAAAATCATATACATTTTTTTATATTGAATAGGGCCTCCTAGGGGTTTGGAAGTTATTAAGTTGAAAAAATAAATTTGAACACAAATACATAATAAATATTTTTAACATAGTGGATAGAGGGTTGATATGTTCAACTCCAACATCTCACTCTTTAATTTCTTTGATTAGACTCCTTTAAGTGGAGAGCTACGCTATGAGATCTCTTGACCTCTATTTAGCAATATAATAAGAAGGGTCATTTCATCTGCTGTGAATTGTATGACATGACCCTTATTATAAAATATTATCGTCGAATATCCCACATTCTTAGGAGCTCTTAGATCAGTGAAACATTCTGCTCAAGAGAAGTGAATTTCATAAATTTGTAAATGTTTAATCTCCTCAAAGTGTCCTCTACATCAGTGTTTATCATCTCCACAAAGGTGTTGCAGATTATTCAAAAAGTTAATACAGAGCATTGAAAAGTAAAAGGCCTAACATAGACCTGAAATAACACAGAAAAATAAGAATAAAATACGCAACAAATACACATAAAATATGTAGCATATACACATTATATGCGCATCAAATACACAACAAATATACATCAAATATACATTATATACGCAGCAAATATGTAGCAACTATACATTAGATACACAACAGATACGTTGTAAATACACAACAAAAGCCCTAAACCCTAAACAAGTAGAAAAAATGCAGTGAGTACGCAAAAAATAGATAGTAATATATAATAATCAAGCAACAACAAACATGCAGTTATAATGAAGTCAATCCTAAACCATTAAAAGAGTAAAAAATGAACAAGTCTAACACAAAAATTTGTTAACTACACAGTAAATATGCTGCAACTAAAAATGCAGTTCATTCACAATAAATACGTAGCTCTAACGTAATTATTATGTAGTTATCACACAGTTCTAAAGAGGTTTATACGCATTTTTGAAAATGACGGTTTCAAGGGCTTTGACTCAACTACCTTATAAAACTACAAGTAAATAACAGACTATTCTTTTTAGAGAATGAATCCATTGGTGCAGATGAAAAGTAATTAAATGTATGAGATGCAGAGAATAATGAGTGTCCAAGATGGGAGGAAAAAAAGTGAATGCTTTGAAAATTGAAATGTCTCTGCTAGATAGATCAGTTGGTAGGGAGAAATTATTGGGTAAGATTACCGGACACAGCTTACGTTTGATATTCACAGTATTGAGCAGTACTGAGCAATACTGAACCCGATACTGTAAAATACTGAATACCGAGCAATACTAAGCATCAGTATTACTTGATATTGCTCAGCACCGACCCAATAAATTCCCGTTTGTCGGACCCATTGAGCACAGAATAATTTGCTCCGATTCGCTTCTTCTTACGAGACGGGAAAAAAGATCCGGCCATTCCGCCTGCTTTCAGAGACGGGCGTCCGTTTCCTAGTTCCCTCTCCTAAACCTCGGCGTTGTTCGTTCAGTTAGCGGTTGCCGATGGAGGATCTGAAGTTTGCGCTAAAGGGACACGCAGATCTTGTTGGGGAATTTCTCGAGAGGGTCTCTGCTGAGATGCGTGGTGGATTCCGACCCGCCGTGGACAACTTCGTTGGGTTCTTCCACGCCATCGATTGGAACGTTCGTGCCTTTTTGTTTTCTTCATCTTGTTCTCCCATATTTGTTTTTTTGTTAACTTCTGTAGAGTTTAATTGTGAAACGAACACGAAACCAGTAAATGCTGGAAATACAGGAAAATAACAACAAATACCATATAATTAGGCAACTCATAACTTCTCTGAATTTATGGAGGATAATGGACAGGCAATTTAGAGGATGACTGCAACTCCATGTAGCTTTCGGGAGAAAGATAGTGTGATCTAGAGCTCATTTTCTTCTGCCTCTTTTCTTTCCCTAAGACCATTCGCAACCGAACGGTAAACAAGTGTATGCTGTCCACCAAACGATCCGAAATTGTCCGCCAATCTCCGGGAGTGAATAGTGTGAATTGGCTTATGGGATTTGTGGAAGAAGCGCGCGAAAGAGGAGAAAGACGGTTCCTTTGCAGCGAGATAAAGAAGCGCGCAAAAGAGGACAAGAAATGGAGTTCGATTGGAGATGAATTACTACATTTTAGAGTGAAAAATAGGTTTTTTCAGTTGAAGATGCCCTAATGCTGCACATGAAGATTCTATAAAGACTATGTTTCATTAAAACCTGTAATAACAACCGATAAGTTTAATTACCTAATAGTCACTAATTTACCTATTACATTTATTCTATAACATTACCAGCTCCCTTGACAATACCCTTGCCCTAAAGGTTGAGTATTGTGATGAGATTGGGTGAAGGTGCTGATTGTCAGCCCTCGCGAGCTTTGTCAACATCAACGCTGGATCTGGTGGGGTTGGATCTATCGATGATGTTGGAGATAAGGTTAGATTTGACAATAATCATAACATTGGGAATGACGTGGTCTGAGGAGGTCTGAAATCTCAATGACATTGGGAAAGTCTTGCTAGCTGGGGATTTGTGATTGAGGCGATGGTTTTGAGTCATTGTGGCTTGGAAGTGGTAGGATTGGGAGGATCTTGGGCCTATGTGACTCAAATGGGATAGAGACGACTCGGCGAGGATTTGATGAAACATTAATTTCATGCTTCAAGATGAGGAAAATGGCTACAAAAGGCTTGGGATTCCCATACACGGAGTCAGAGCTGGGGCAGTAGATGTGGATTCATGAGAAAAAAGTGTGTCGAGGCTAGGTGGAGGGGAATGAGTCAATACCCTTGCCCTAAAGGTTGAGTATTGTGACGAGATTGGGTGAAGGTGCTGATTGTCAGCCCTCGCGAGCTTTGTCAACATCAACGCTGGATCTGGTGGGGTTGGATCTATAGATGATGTTGGAGATAAGGTTAGATTTGACAATAATCATAACATTGGGAATGAACATGGGTTGATGAGGTCTTAAATCTCAATGACATTGGGAAAGTCTTGCTAGCTGGGGATTTGTGATTGAGGCGATGGTGTTGAGTCATTGTGGCTTGGAAGTGGTAGGATTGTGAGGATCCAGGGCCTATCTGACTAAAATAGGATAGAGACGGCTCAGCGGGGATCTGATGAAACATTAATTTCATGCTTCAAGATGAGGAAAATGGCTACAAAATGCTTGGGATTCCCATAGACAGAGTCAGAGCTAGGGCAGTAGATGTGGATTCATGAGAAAAAAGTGTGTCGACGCTAGGTGGAGGGGAATGAGTCAAATTTGGAGTACAAGATGCAATCAAGGATTTATTTAGTGCATAAAAGGTGGGCTTGTGTTGCAATGATTGAAAGGTGGCAAATCTGAATGATGGAGGGAGATGTTGCACCTAACGAGTAGCTCAAGAAGATTATCATTTGATACAAATCCAAAATCAATAAATCTAAAAACTATGGAAAATAATGACAAATATAAGTTAACTTATCAATTTAAAACTTGCCTAAAACTTCAGGTATTGATGAGGCAGAAAGGAAATACCTTTAGGAGGATGCCCACAACTCCAAGAAGTTTTTTTAGGTTGGGGTTCGGGTGGGGGTGGAGGGGAATGAGCCAAAGATCATTGTCATCTATATCTTTGATCGCTCCAATACTCCTCATGAAGAGTATTCATAGACTTTCAAGAACTCATATGATTCATTAAAACTTCTAATAAAAACCTATAAGCCTAACTACTTGCCACCTAATAAGTTATGTATTAAATTTATTTCCTAACACATTTCCTTCTTCTAGATGGTACTCCAAAGATTTTTTGTCATATCTAATGCATAAAGTTTAAGTGGATTTCCCTTGGTAAACATTGATTAGGGTTTGTTTTTGTTGGCGTTCAAAGAAAATATGGAGTTGTTTCAACGAAAATGAGGTTTGTTGTAGATCTTATAACCGTGAGGGTCATTATGTACTTCTCTTAGCTATCATCTAGATAATCTTTTAGAAGTGTAACATTTTTCTGGGTAGATAAGGTTTCCCTTTAGTAAATGTGAGATTTGTGATCCTGAATGCAGGACATTGTGTACATGCTAAGGAGATATATAATTGGCAAATTCTATCTAATTGTTCTTGAGGTAGGGATGTAATTAACGTAGTGTTGAACAACCTTTCTTTTATGATGGTTTATTTTTTTATAACTATGTTTTTAGTCCAATTTATTGAGAGTTTGATTTTCTTCTCCTTGTTTATTTCTTGCTTGCAAATTTTGATTGCATCAACCATTTTTGGTGAATTTTAATTAGTCAATTTCACATGTAAAGGCTATAGTATTCTTTATTTTGTATTTCTTTCACGTTCTCCTATCTTTATAGTAAATGAAAAAAAAGAATATTGTCACATTTATTGATCTGTCTGTAGGCTTCAGAATGCAACATGAATTAAATTTGGTCAAAATCAATGTTTGTAAAGACCGCTGAACATAAAATTGCATGAAGTCAACTAAACTCTTTGATCATAACTAAAATCGATTAACGAATACCCGCTTCACGAAATAGACTTCATCAGTGCATTTGGAGCTTTGAAAATACCTATGAAAGAACTCTCGCATCATCACATAGCTGCCCAATGAAAACAACAGAAAACATATGCAACTTGTCACAAAATTATCCAATTATCATCCATTTTGTGAAATGGTTTGCACCAGTGCATTCACAATATTGAATTCATCAAAGGACGCGTGTAATTTGATCAATCATGAAGAAAAACAAAAGGCAATAAACATGACATTACAAAAATTTGATTTGAAGCATCTCAATCATAATCAAAACTACTCAACCAGTATTTATTTCATAAAATGGGCTGTGCCTATGCATTTGAAATATTAAAAATGCATAGGGTAGACACCCTTATTTCCTTATTCACCGCACAAAGACTAAATATAATATTTGTTTACTCATGAGATGACAACCCATAATTCAAGATGTGTGACGATGAAAAGTTTGTTATAAATTGGTTCATAAATTAAATTTACTATTATTATTATTATAAAAATCAAATTCTAATAACTAAATAAATGTATAAAAATTAGAATCATATCAAATCTTTCTCATATCTTTGAAATCATGTCAAAATTTTAGGAAGTTTGGATTTCATATGCTTTGGTCATGCAAGGGGCCCCATACCATCGCTTCTCATCTTATGAATACAAAATGAAAAATCAAAATCCTAACCTAAGTTGTTCTCTCGCTTGCTCGCTCATTAGATAGAACTTGCACTCTCTCCTTTGTCTCGCTTTCTACCTCATACACATCCCTGCCCATTCGTCAGTCTTTCATACCAACAGTTGTCTCAGGCAACTTTCCTCTCTTATTGATAACTGCTCGTTCTTGATAGCCAACGCATACTGCGTCTCCCTTTTAACAACCCAACCCTGCCTTCCTCATCTCAACAGAACTAGTTATGAGGACATCGAAGATGAACGGCTAGATCGTGTCTATTTATTTTCATGTATTTTATTTGTTATTTGTACTTTTTCATTTCTACCCTCACTTGAGGGCTTTGTTTTATGTTTGCCCTAGGGGCAATTATGTCTTTTATTTTCCCTCATGTATTTGGCTATTTAAGCCCTCCCCTTTCTCTTGGAAAGGGATGATGATTATTGATAATGAAAGGTTTTATGTTCTTGTTGATCTCTTAGTGAGTTCACGTGATCTCTTAGTGAGTTCATGAGTGGAGAAGCCCGAGGAGGGTAATTCGCAATACCCATCAATTTTTGGAAGAGTCTGAGGTTCCCGGTTCTTACGATCTCTGTGTGAGTTCGTTAGTTATCTCTATCTTTCTCGTATATTTTGGTTATCTCCTTTCTCCCCTCTTCATGCACATTCTTCTTCTCCTCCATTGACTACCGCGAGCCAAGTCAAGAGTGGAAGAAGCCGAAACCTCCACTAGCATCTCCACCCTAGCTCCACCCGTCGGCCACCTTGCCACCGGCCTCTCCCCTCGCCGCC